TTGGTGAGGCAGAGCAAATTTTTTTATTTGGCCTAAAAAGTGGATTATAATATCTGGATTCAATGTCTACATAATTGCTGTCAATAATGCCATTATTTAAAAAAAAAAAACAAACAAACTAATCAACATCATAGAATATTAAGCTACTTCAAAGAGCAATAACATGGTTATAATTTAGTTTAGTTTAGAGTTGGGTATGGGATCAATAATGTTCGTAAATGATGGGACAGTACGGTAGTCATAGAAGGAATGGAAAAAGCAATGTGCTTGCTTGCTACAAGTAGTAACAAGCAAGTGTTATAACACGGCTGGGGGAATGCCAAGTGAATCAAAACCATGTGCAAACAATAATATCATATGATCCAATAGAATTTAATATCCCAAAATTTGCACCACAAATAGTAATTAAAAGCTTGGTTGCGTAAATATATTAGCAAAACTTCAATGTCCAACCAACACCCCACTCTCATACAGTACATTGCAGTTCTGAGAATATAGTCCATTTTCATGACACCCGGCTATTCAATATATACTGCAGTACTATACAACCAATAATACTTGGAGGACTACATACAGTGCATGAAATTCAACCTTGCGCATTGTGTGGAGTTCCGGGACAACCAAATACAAAAATACACTGCCTTTATACTTCAGACATTTAATGTTTGAACATGTTATGATTTTTTGTTCTGACAATACAAAACTAAAAATGCATGTATGGAAACTCAAAAATTATCAAAAATATAGAATTGAAACTAATAGTATCTTTGTTAATGTTATTATTTGGAGTTCTTATTATTTTGTTCTATTTTACAAGATGCCATCCATTTATTTCATTAATAATATTTCCTGTGAATCTCCTCTTCCTCTTTTCAAGTACTGAATTTTATAGAAGATAATTGTGGGCATTTTGCAGGGGTTTTTTTTTATGAAAATGGAATACACATTAAAATTGTTAAATCCTTCCCCAGCTAATGTTCTCTACTCGTTAACAGGTAATAGGTTAACAGTAAATGATTAATAAAAAAAATTTAACAAAACAACAAAACAATTAATAACCGAAAACAAAAATAAAAAAAGATTGGAATAATACTAGTGTAATAACTACAAGTAAATAAAAGGAAATAAACAAATAAAAGAAAAATAACTGCTATTCTAGAAAAGATAAAAATCATGCTGTAAGAAATTCTAAAAACTTTACATTCTCCTAGCATAATGAGAATGAATGGTCAATTCACTCTCCGTTTTCTATTCTAACACTAACGAATGTGTTTACTTCAAATGAATGTCCTTGGTTGGTGTGGAGCAGTATTGACAGCAACAGCTCAATAGGCAGATAATTTAGTCTAACTAAATACAACTGTTATCAATCCATGAACTTGTACCATCCACATGACTGCCTATTCAATTAGCAAAATAATAAGCATACCTAAATGCATTGTTGTAATTGTGTTAATATATTTTCATTTTAATCTTTCATTTTAAGATATATTCACTGTGTGTGTTAAACAACAGTATGAAACATAAAAATATAATTCAAATATATGAATCGCTTCTGTTGTAGGGTTATTATATGTGGCAAAGACAAGCCAAAACAATCACTCCTCGCAGAAAATCTTTTTAGTTTATGACTACATGGTTCAGTAAAATGAGAGCTATAAAATGGATAGTTTTCAAAAATTTTGACATTCCAGCATGTTTTGGCTATTATCTCTGACACACAATTTGCGACGAATGACTGGTTTAGTTTGTCTTTGCCATACTGTTCCTAAGCAATACTGTAGTAAAATAATAATAATCAAAAGTTTATATAAATAACTGTAATTAAAAAATACATAAACCTATATAACCAAACTACTAAAATATCTGTACTACCAAAACACAGATATGACTATAAGCAAGATAAACAAGACCAGCAAAAATATTGGAAATTCCCAGGTACAAAAATAACATAATGACGTTATCTTTACAGGGTACTATAGTTATTTCGATTTTGTGGTTTGTTGAGTTTGAATTCAACACAATAAAAACAGCCACAACCTATTTACGGCAAACAATTTCAAAAATTTTTCAATAAACTATGTACAACCGTTATTTCGATTTTGTGGTTTGTTGAGTTTGAATTCAACACAATAAAAACGGCCACAACTATTTACGGCAAACAATTTCAAAATTTTTCTATAAACTATGTACAACCACATATTAATCTGTTTTATAACAGTTATTATTATTTATTTAGGCACACAACACATGGACCAAGTATGACAGTGATATATTCCCTAACTGACAATCCCTTTCACAAAACAACATACACACACGATGCTACAACAAACTAAATCTCAATAGGAGTTTTAGGGAGTTGAGTTGTTTTGGTTGTGAGAAAAAAATCCTGCAACACTGAGAGGAATTGAACCCAGGAGCCTGGGATTGGAAGGCAAGCATCTTAACCACCAAGCTATTCAACTCCACTGGCACATGGAATTGAAAATCTAACAACTAATATTGGAGTATCAATTATATCAGTACCAGTAGATGAAAACTGAACAGTGAAATACTGGAATAGATCAATTTACAGAAATTCCGGTTTCCTCAAGATGTTCAAAAATAGGATACCAACCAGGAAAAATTTATTGAAAACTATTTTAAGTCTCTAAGGCAGGGCACTCAATGCGCCCGAGTGTCGTTGGCCGACACGATTCTACGAAGAACGTAACGCGACGACGTGCGCGCAATGGACCATAGAAATGAGATGACTAGTAGATGGGGGTCGCATGGTCTAGCGTTCACAGGGAGTGGAGTTAGATTCGTTGATGCAGTGAATGCCTCCCTTTACACTAATCCTATATTATACTGTAGGCTCACTGAATTCAAATTTTAGATGGTACTGGATAGACTACTACAAGCTAAGACCCTATCATGATTATTTTCAGATTATTATTTTGTAAGCACCTTTTAATTCATTTCTTGCATTGGGATAATTTAGCATAGTAGTAAGTAGACTTCCAAGTTCTACAACAATAGACAATACACTATAAGTACTTGCTTAGCCTATGGTAGGCCATATGGCATGGATAAGAGCAACACAATTCTTGGATCTCTATTTTTACCAGGTGCAAAAAAAAACTGTTCAGTGCCAAAATATTTGTATTTTTCTGCTTTCAAAAGTAGTTGTACAATAAGTGCCAAACATTTGTTAATTCATGCCTTCTGCCTCATAATTTTTGCCAATTAATCATCCAATTATCAATTAAAAAAAACTTCCATATCAATAGTGATGATAAATGATATGTTCTTAAGCTTTTTCACACTATCAAATTTTATGTGATATGCCTATATTTGGGAGTAATATGACATCATCATGCCTAAGGGCAAAGCACACAAACTTGTCAACTATAAAATCTGATAATGTGGACAGTTTCAGATCCTTGATATTAGGAAGCTTTCGCTTGCACGAAAGCTCCCTGGTTTGTGTCTGTAAGGTACTTGAAAATGAAAAAGCCAAAGTGATATAATAATCAATGCATTGTATAGACTGAGATACATTTGTAACTTAAGAGCTAAAGTGACATGATGAATAAATGCATGGAATATTGTGGTGAAGTAAGAGTATGCATCTTCAGAGTGCGCATTCACAAGATTTGATGAATAAATTCATGCAAGTACAGTACATATTGTTTCATGTATGAGCAAAAATATATTTAATGTAGCAGGAAAACAAATTTTCATGTATACTCACTATTCATTATTGTATGACAAATATAAATGAACTTTGAACTGTTATGCAAGAGCATTAACTGCTAAGTACTATTGACTACTAGGATGCATCATCACCTGTATGGGCATTTTATATGAACAGGAATTTGTACATTTCTCTCAGTATAAATAACAAAATAAGTCCTTGTTTTTGCTTCTTAATATAGTGAATTCAATATTATTTCAATAAAATAACACTGTTTATAATTTAATAATTATTGATTTTTAATTTCATTTGTTAAATTGTTAATTCTTCATTTCATTTGTTTTTCTAAGTATTATGAATTATTATTATATATTATATAAAATTTTTATATTGCTGTTTCTCTAGGGATGGATTAACAAGCTTGTGAGCTACAGTGATTATAATTGCTTTTTTTAATCCTTGCCTCACATACAGTTTACACAGTTTTATTTTGTATTGTGAGTTTTGGTTTTTTTTAGTTTCATTTTACTATATGTACAAATTGTATTGTGATTTTTATAAAAGGTTAAATCATGAATGAATGATATTTTTCGCTTTTACTGTACAAGTCACTACGACTATGTTCTCACATGGCTGCTAACGGTTAGCAGGATCCGGATCCTGCTAACCGTTAGCTGTCGTGCGTCCATCCGAGAAAATCCCGATCCGGATACCAAAAATATGATGATCGAATCACTGGCCAATAAGAAAATTGGAAATTATAAACGCGTATGTGTGATTGGTTGATGATAAAAACGTGCTCAACTTGCTAACCGATAGTGCTTGCTAACTGTTAGCGGTATCCGGATACTGCTAACGGTTAGTGCTAACCGATCGGGCGTTCTCACGCAGGTGCTAACGGTTAGCGCTAACATTAGCTCCCGATCCCGATACTAGGGCTCTCGTGAGAACCAGGCTAGAGTCTTAATATGCTTCTTCATTTCCCAGGTCATTGGAAACTTCCATTGTACGAAACCTCCTCTACTCATTTGTGATTATTTCATTTTATGGTCATACAGGAGACATTACTTACAGTCAAACATTTTCAGCCTGTTAAAGGAACCCAAAATCTAGGTGACAGCTAATATAAGGAGGCCTATAACATGATTTGAAGCCCTAATTTGTAACCCTGTCTGAAAAATGTCATTGATTATAAGCAAAAGGAGGGATAAGAGCATTGAATTGAGTATAAAGTTGATAACAGTAGGCAGCTATTGTATAACAGAGCTTTGGTATTACGGAAACGAAAGCAGATTTCGAGTAATAAAATAGTTTTATTTACCTCAGCAGTTCTGTCTGGGTGATTGTTCAAAGCTAAATTCTTGTACGCCCACAGCAAATCTTCTGCAAATGAAGCATAACAAACATACACAATTTAACATTTTTGCATTTTCACAAAAAGTAAGCGTATAGTAAATCTTATTTCCCTATCCTCTCTTATCAGAATAAAGAAATTATATTATCAAATAATTTTGTCGGTTTTCAAAATAAATATTAAGTTCAATGATCACAACAACTGACAGTTGTAGAAACATAAAAGACTTGGCAATTGATCCATGTAAACACCTATAAAGCTGGTGAAATGTAAAGTATGGATAATCACATGTAGTCATTAACATTTTGAATTCTCTTGTTATTTAAATTTTCCAGACTGACTATTAAATCTACAATGCAGTGTACCTTGGCAGGATTTACAGTACATAAGATAGCCCAAACACGACAATTACCTTGGGTTCATATGTGGACTCTATATTGATATTGTACACGATCTATAACAGTGATTACTCTAATCATGGAGGGAACTTATTCTTCTATGCTCTAATGCATCGGTATTTTGCTTATCAATAATGTCATCCTTTATTCACAGAATTCTTCACATTTTCAAAAAACATACAGTAGGTGGTAAAAAAAAGAACAATCTTTTAATGTATAATATTAATTATGATGACTATTTTTACAGCAAACTTGAAACTTTAGTCCTTTACTGTCGAGTGGCGGAGCGGTAAGGCAGGGGCGCCGCTAGCGACAGCCTTAACATCGGCGCTGGTTCCAGCCGCTCCTCACCCATGGTTCGGTTGGTAGAACCAAGTCTTCTCAGATAAGGGCTTAAAATGGAGGTCCAGAAGCGTCTTTGAGCCGAACTACAGACAGATATTATCATCATACAGTATCCTTAACGAGCAAGGATATCAAAGATCAAGCAGGAAGTAATAATGGTGCCAACTTCCATACGATTAATGGCAATAAATTTACAAAGCTCAGATACTTTCTAAATAATATCTGGCGGGTCATGGTGGTCTCTTCTTGATCCTGAAATCCCCACTCACCCATATGATTTTCTCACTGAATGTATTTTTTTTTAAATATCTCTTTATTCTTTCTTTTATATTTCTGAATTGCATGTACTACTGTTTTTGCATCGGATCAATCAATACTAATTTCATTTTTACCATTGTTAAATATCATATCGTAGTAATTCTATTTTTACTATTTAGAAAAATGTTTGAAGACCTGAAAAACGAAATTTGAAGGTTGTCTATTGGTAATGAACCAATGATGATAAGATGGAAATGCAAGCATCTTAACCACAATTTAAAAAACATGGTGATATAGGCAAAACAATCAAGATACAGCTCAGGGAATAGAAAGATGAGGAAAGGATTGATTGACTGAATGAACAGGTTATAACCATTAGTACAGTATTTTAGAGTGGCAGCAGTAGTGATCAAACTGGTCCTTCTATAGGCTAATTAAATTACGCTGTCTAGCGTTAGTACGGTTGTAAAAACTATTTAACAAAAATAGAAACAATTTGCATAAATAAACATTTAAAAAAAAAAACAGAAAATGTCGGGCAGTGGCACAATACTCCGTCAATCAAAACCTTGCTACTTATTTTAAGAATCTTTAAAAAAATCACACCAATTTAGATATAAAAAAATAATAAAACAAAAACACAGTAACTCTGAAAAGAGATATTTGAAGATTTACAGATGTTTTAAACTATTTGATCATTTTCTATATATTTTAAAAACGAAAGTACTACTTTTCATTTTTTTTTCATTGATTATAAATTTGTGCATGTTTTAGTTCATCATGGACTACCTGTGAGGCCATACTTTGCATGAAATCAGTATTTGGATAATCGGTTTGAAGACAAATAAATAAATGCCTGCTCACCTAGTAAAAATATGCAAATGGTATTAAATAAACCAGCTCCTTTCTAGCCTGTACCCCACCTATTGTACTGTACATAAGAACACCTCAACTGTACCTCACAATACATCAACACAGACCTGACTCTTTTCAAGCACCTACAGTACAGAAATATTGTTAGCCTAAATAATAGCAGAATGTCTATGTTCAACTATTAAAATTGTAGGGCACTTCACTTTCACAAGCAAACTTACTTCAACTTACTGTACAATGAAAATATGGTAATAATTGTATTGTAGAAGTGACCAACACATATAGCTGAGGCTCACAGTTAAAGCATGCAGTACATGACTCGGGGCTCAAGCTAGTAAGTAGCATACAGGAAAAGGAAGCGAGACAACTGACAGGCAGGAAAGGACACATAATTTGATTTTCACTTCCGTTTTTATTTTTTTTAAAAACCAATAAAATATCAGCCCTAATTTATTAGTTGGGTGCATCATAGGGCTTGGTTTGATTCAAAACAAATACAATTTTATTCAAACAGAAGGAATTTTTCTTGGTGCTTACACTATCTAAATAAATTAATTAATCGGAGCCTCTGTACATAGAAACATATGGATTATGAAACACAGGTTAACAAGATTTAACTGATAAACTAATCAAATTTACAAGTATTTCCTCTCTCAATTGAATACATTAATAAAATTGAGAACATTGAGCTAAGAAGTATCATGAATATGTTAACTGATAATTATTAATACTTGCACCAAGGATAGCCCACGAAGTCTAGAAGAAGACTTACTTCCAGTGGGGTCCTTCTTTTGGTGATTGGGCAGTTCACCAGGAGACAATCCCCTACTTTTTTCCGAAGAGTGTACTGCGTTCACATGGGCCATAAATGCACACAGGACCAACGGGACCAACGGCTTAAACGTCTCATCCGAAAGCGCTATTTTAACTTGTATGTCAGCCCTCTAGCTGAAACACAATGAGAGGCAGCGATGGGAATTGAACAGGGGACCTAGAGATCTCCACAGTTCAGGGCACACACCATGGCTACCACCAGATTAGCCGCCTAAGCTAAGCTGCTCTCATTAATTTAGATGTTATCTTCAAAATTTACTGTACCCCACCATGTATGGTGGGGCTGTGGTAGGTATGGACACAAAGTGAACTTTTGTTAAAATTTGAGACACTCCCTATCCCTTAAGAAATCCTGTCTACATGCTTGAATACTGAGAAAAGAAAACAACCAGCTTGAACATAAAGTCAACAAACAGGTGTTGAAGATGCACCAAATTACATGTAACAAACAAATTTATTGAAATAAATGATTATTAAATGTACTGAATACTGAATAATTTATTTTTATTTATTTCCTTCACATTACTGGAATGATGCTTTAGAAGTTTTTTTATGAGGCTTAGGGAGTGGTCGAGAAAATGAAAACATGAACTATGACATGGTTTGAACTCAGGTCCCTTGGATAGCAAGACATGCACATTATAAAGCACCAAGCTAGTCAACTCCACTTCAAATTTATTCATTTATTCCATCATTACAAGATATAACAACAGTATTTTATTAGAAATTTAACTGACTAATGGACAGTTGGAAACATTTGATTCTGCAGTAGGCTCTTCACAACAGCAATACAAAATATAGAGGATGTGCTTTGCTTCAATCCTTCATAAGCAAGGTCAATGTGATGTCAATTTTTTAATTTTAACAATTCATATTAATCACAGAATGATTTTTAGTGGACTGTGCAGAAACTAAAAATGGTGAAATATTGTATTGTGTAAACAAATTTTTCAAATATTATTATTAATATTGAAGAAGCATCTACAGTATTTTGATGATTTTTCTCCTGATGCAATGAAACATTTCACAGCATACTGAAATGTGCTAAATTGCGTATAGGCGTGGTCTGTGACTACCTAGCAGAAGTAAAGAGGTGCTTAGATAGTAGCTTCATGTTCCACAATGACAGTGGCTGTAATGAATCATAGCATCAGGGTAATGCCCTAATCATACCAAAGATGCAATGGGCCCTGGACCTCCATTTTAAGGCTTTATCCGAGAAGACTTGGTTCTACTAACCAAGCCTTGGGCAAGGAGTAGCTTGAACCAGTGCCAATATTATGGCTGTAGTTAGCGGAGCCCCTGCCTTACTGCTTAGTTATTTGACTCTTCATACATTGGGTAGATTTCCAACGAAGCAGAGGAAATTTCACTTTGTCCAACTTTGTCAATTACTTTATGGATCCAGTGAGAATATGCCTATTATTATCTCCATGGTAACATAGTCCTAATGTTTTCGTGTGTCCTTGTTCTGCTTGGGACTTGACCTTTTAGATGTTAGAGATGTGCTTCAATTTTAGCCTAAGAAATCAATATCCAGGGATGTGAATAAAATTCAAGAGACAACCATAAAAAAGTTGGTTCGTTTTGTGTTTATTCGTGGAACAATAATAGATCTAATACATTCTTTGTTAAATTTTACCCACCTGCACAGTGGTAAAATGCTACTTAACGAAGACGACCAGTCGAATAGAAAACTGGTAAATACTCGATAAAACAAATGGTTGTATACTGTAGTTACCGTGATACACGCTGCATAATCAAGACTGCTTTGGATTGTGGCAGTATCGGTTTTTTGTAAAAAAACTTTTTCATCCAGTTTTTGAATTCTGTTGGCCTACAATTATTTTTTACTTCAATGTGGGTAAATATTATAATTTTTATTTTCTGAAATTTAATCTAAATTATATTAATGCAAATGTTGTTGCTAAACTGACCAATCGGCCATTTTTTTTTGGTCACATAGATAACTTAACACTGATTAACGCATTCTGGTTAAGTTAATTGTCATTGTCAACGAAGTCTATTTTACGAACCAGTCGAATGAAAATAGTACTCAACGAAATGAACCAATCAAATAAGCCCAAAACCCTCACACTAAGGTTACATTTTTAATACTACTACTGTGTAATATATTGCAATAATGGCATCCATCAAATTTGCATAACAAAATGTTGATCGAAATATATTGTCAAACCCCTGGAAGTTTTGTAATCTAAACGGTGGTGTTTTGTGGCTATGCATACTGTACTTACTAGGTTAATATTGTTGAGTTATTTTCCTGATGCAAACTCACATCAAAATAGTTGAAGTGTTCTCCG